GCTAAACTGAGAATATCCACAATCCTCCCTGGTGAGCCCTTCCAGGGCCACGGGCTGCTGTGGTTTGGGGTCACCCAGCTCCAGGCTGGACGTGACAGCAGGGCTGTGACAGTCCCGTGGCACAGGGGGGTCAGTGCCACCCCAGGCAGCTCCTGGGACACCCACGAGGAAGCCACCCCCAAAAACCTGGGATGAGGAGGGAGCCTGTGGCGGACAGGGCTCTCCAGGCATGGAATTGTGGAGATGTTGAGGTTGGAAAAGATCTTTAAGCTCATAAAGTCCAACCAGCAGCACCACCGTGGCCACAGCTAGCTCACATCCTCAAGGGCCACGATCTCCTCCAGGGCTTTAGGGTCTCTTCCACGGAGAAGTTTTCCTGTGGTCCCACCTGAAGCTGCCGTGTGCTGCCCTGTGCAGGCGGTGCTGAGCACAGGAACACGCCTGGGACAGGCACGTCCCACCTGGGACAGGCACTTCCCACCTGGGACAGGCATTTCCCACCTGGGACAGGCACTTCCCGCCTGGGACAGGCACTTCCCACCTGGGACAGGCGCTTCCCACCTGGGACAGGCACTTCCCACCTGGGACAGGCACCTCCCACCTGGGACAGGCATTTCCCACATCAAAAATGAAGCTGGTGATTCCAGGCGTGATTCCAGGCGATGCTCACTTGGGAGCAGGAGATCAGACCCCAAAGCAAGCGTCTAAGTATGACTGATTAACAACTAAACCCTCACTAATTGCCTTAAAAAGTCAGAGCTCGACAGCCAGGGAAAGGGGAAAAAAAAGGATTAAAATTTTCCTCGGGCTAAACATTTTTCCGGCGTGCTCAGACTCGCTCTGGTCTCGACAGCCAGGGAAAGGGAAAAAAAAAAAAGGATTAAAATTTTCCTCGGGCTAAACATTTTTCCGGCGTGCTCAGACTCGCTCTGGGTGTCTCCAGTCATTATCTCCCTAATTAACACGCGCCACGAACCCCAAAGAAACTTCCCCACCTTGTGGCTGGGGGAGGTTCAGTGGGATTATCCAAACCTGGGGAAGGGATCGGCCAGCAGAGGTGAAGTTGTTGTTGCTGGAGGAACTGGAATAAACCTTGGGAATAAACCTTGGGAATAAACTTTGGGAATAAAGCTGGAGGTGCTGGGACAGGTGAGGGAGGCTCCTCTCCTCCTGCCGCCAGGAAATCACGATGGGGAAGGATTTTTATCCATTTCCATCCCTTTATTTCCTTTATCTATTTATCCTTTTCCTTTTACCCATTTCCATCCCTTTATTTTGTGTAATTAACACGACACCCGCATTTTCACAGCCCCAAAAAGAACCCAGATAATCCCTTAGAAGCAAACTGATGCCAAAGGGCACCAAGGGGATGGGAGCTGGGCATGAAAGCCAAATCTGCTGGGAATGATGGTGCCAGAAGGATGTAACCCCCCAAAAGCGCTGCTTTGGCCTTTTGGAGCAGGAAAAACCGTGGATCAGAGGACAAAATGAAATAAAACCACACAAATGTGAAAGGAGCCATCCCTGCGGGGCTGGGCAGCCTCTGGAAACTGGGAATTCCGGGGTGCAGGAGGAGCAGGAGCAGCCAGGCACCGGCTCCGAGGAGCAGCGGTAATTAGAGCTTCCGAGTGCCTCCAGGTCATTTGCCTTTTCCTCGGATAACATCATTTCTATAGGGCTTGTTGTCTTATTGGAGAATTAATCTAAATCTTGGCGGGCTCTGGATGCTTGGCCGGCGGCTGGAGCCATCCCGGGGAGGGTCAGGGGCAGGTCCCGTGCGTGGCATGCGGGAAAAAAACCCACAAAACTCAGAAGGGAGGTCAGCTGGAGGCTACGGGGGAGGAAATGAGCGATTTCTTCAGCAATCAGGGAAGTTCGCGTCGGCCTGGAAACGTAATTTAATTTGTGCCGTTAAAGCCGGGCTGCTCCCGACTGAGGAAAATCCTCTCGTTAAGGCAGAGCTGTCATTAGCGGGATAATTAAAGCAGGGGGAATGGCACGGGGAATGTCCGGGACGTGCAGTGAGGGGGGGAAAGCAGAATTCCGAGTGCCCCGGGGGCCCCGGGAGGGACTGGGCAGTGCCCAGGGCTGAGGGTGCTCGGGGATGGGATGGGATAATGGGATGGGATACTGGGATGGGATAGGATAATGGGATGGGATGGGATGGGACAATGGGATGGGATGGGATGGGATGGGATGGGATGGGATGGGATGGGATGGGATGGGATGGGATGGGATGGGATGGGATGGGATGGGATGGGATGGGATGGGATGGCATGGGATAATGGGATGGGGTAACGGGATGATGGGATGGGATGGGACAATGGGATGGGATGGAATGGGATTCCTCCTGCGGGATTGAATCCTGAATCCTCAGCACCAAGCGCTGCCTGGAGCTCTCCACCCTCAGGTCTTCCATATTCCTGCTAAAATCCCCTCTCCAGCCAGATTTCCATGAAAATGCCCCACCCCTGTTTAAACCATCCCGGGGGGCTTTTGGCCCCGGGGATATTCCCTTGTGGATGCAGGGATCCCACAGGAGCATCCTCCTCCTTCCCTTCCCTCCCTGGAAGGCTTGGGAAAGGCACTTGCACCCTCCCGTGCCCGCATCCACAAACTGCAAGGCAGCCTGGAATCCCGGCTGGATCCGCTGCGGGCAGGGCAGGGATGGAGCAATCCCGGCTGGATCCCTGGCACAGGGTGCTGGGCAGGGCAGGGATGGATCAGTCCTGGCTGGATCCCTGGCACACACTGCTGGGCAGGGCAGGGATGTTGGAATCCTGGCTGGATCCCTGGCATACACTGCTGGGCACGGCAGGGATGGAGCAATCCCGGCTGGATCCCTGGCACAGGGTGCTGGGCAGGGCAGGGATGTTGGAATCCCTGGCACACGCTGCCCACGACGGGAGGAAGCTCTGCCATCCCCTCAGCGCTGGCACTCCCAAGGTTTCCTCCCATTGCAGCATCTCAGGGGAAACCACTCCAAAAATCCCTTCCTTCCACACCTCCAGGGCTCATGCAGATGTTACCTGGCCTGGAGAATCCTGGAATGGTTTGGGTTGGAAGGACCCTAAAGCCCATCCAGTGCCACCCTGCCATGGCAGGGACATTTCCACTGTCCCAGGTGCTCCCAGCCCTGTCCAGCCTGGCCTGGGCACTGCCAGGGATCCAGGGGCAGCCACAGCTGCTCTGGGCACCCTGTGCCAGCCCTGCCCACCCTCTCAGGGAAGAATTCCCCCTCAAAGCCCTAAACCCCACGGATTAATGAGTGAAAAGGCAGACTGGACCTTCAGACCTGGTGAGCGATCAGAGCTGGAGGCTGACCCGAGGTGAGGGCACTGGGGGGAGAGCTGGCCCTGAGCTCCAGAGGGGACTTCACCCCCTGGAGCAGGAACTGCAGCCTAGCAAAGCCCAGCTCAAGCTCCAGGCTCAGGGATCCAAGGTCCCCTGTGAGACTGAGGGTTGTGGCTTCCAGTCCTGCAGGGGAACTCTGGTGAGAAACTCATCTCCCTGTGCCCAGAAAATCCTGACAGCCCAGGAAGTGCCAAGAACACCCTTGGAACAAGCCAAAAGTGGCTTCATTTAGGAAAAAGTGCTAAAGGGAGTGGAAGGAAAGCTTCCCAGTGGAGCTTTGGCTCTGGGAATGCTCCAGCCCCCTTTCCAATGGCAAACCTGGGGAAATGGGAAGAGATTCCAGGTAAAAGCACACACCCCCAGCCCCCAGCCAGGGAGCAGGGGGGAACCCAGGGATGCCATTCCCAGCGTGTTCAACACTCCAACACAGTGAATCAGTGCTTTATTTCAGCATGGAGAGACCAGCAGTGAGCTCCAGGGCTGGCAAACCTCGCCTGGTGCCCCTGGGTCCGTGGGATTGAGGGAAAACACACGGAGAGAAAAGGCCCCAAGGTGTCCCCAAGAGGAGCTGCACCCACAGCGCAGCCCCCCAAAACCCCACGGGTCAACAACAGCCTCTTCCCTCATTAAAGATCCTGGTGTATCCATTCCAGAGGAGATTTGGCTCCTGGGACAGGCAGGAACGAGGCACTGGATTCAGCAGAATTAGTGTGGCAGCCCTTGGGAGCAGTGAGGCAGAGCCTGAGCGGTGCCAAGCACAGCCCTGGGCACAGTTCCAGCCTCCCTCCCACAGAGCAGTGCCCTGAGTGCCCCTGGGAATGATTGCACAGTGCTGAGTCAGGTGTAAGGCCAGGGCAGAGTCGAGGACACTGGCGTGGAACCGTCCCTGCAGGGTGGGAGGTGGGCAGGGGGGGAAACGCCTGGATGCTGCCCAGTGGGACCATAAAACATCCCTGCCCCAGCCCCCTGGAAGGGTTTACATGGGGCACTTCATAGCATGATCCCAGAATAGCTCCAGGGATTAACCCCGAGCCTGAGCCCAGCTAATCCTGCCTCACTCCCTGGGAGTGCCAGCAGAGCCTCCTGCACCGAGCTGGGCCTGCCAGGCTCTGCACACTGTCACAGCAAAGGACAGTGACGGGGTCAGCACTGGCACTGCAGCTCTGGGCTGGGGCTGGAACAGCCCCAGAGAGGAAATGGGAAACCTGGGGAAACTGGGGAAACTGGGACAGGGAAAACGGGAGGACTGGGCCAGGGAAAACTGGGAAACTGGGACAGGGAAAACGGTGGGGATTGGGATGGGGAAACCTGGGGGGACTGGGATAGGGAAACCTGGGGACTGGGATAGGGAAAACTGGGGAACTGGGATAGGGAAACCTGGGGAACTGGGATAGGGAAACCTGGGGGGACTGGGATAGGGAAACCTGGGGACTGGGATAGGGAAACCTGGGGGAACTGGGATAGGGAGAACCTTGACAGGGAAACCAGGGAGGAACTGTGCCAGAGAAACCAGGAGAGAACCGTTAGAGAGAAACCAGGGAGGAACCGTGACAGAGAAATCGGGGGGAACCGTGACAGGGAAATCAGGAGAGAACTGTGACAGGGAAATCACGGGGGAACCGTGACAGAAATCAAGGGGAACTGCAACAGGGAAACAGGGAAATTCTGAGAGGGAAATCAGGGAATAAAAGCCTGACAGGGAAATCAGGGAATAAAACCCTGACAGGGAAATCAAGGGGGAACCGTGACCAGGAAATCAGGAGCAAACTTGGACCAGGAAATCAGGGGCAAACTTGGACCAGGAGCTTCCTTGGGGTTGCTCGTGCTGTGGGTCCCCTTGGCAGGTCAGTGCATCCCAAGAGTGCAGGCAGGATTGGCCCAGGGCAGTGGCAGGTGCAGCAGCTCACTTATTTCTCCTTCAAGTCAGCTTTACCTAAAACAGGGGAGGAGCAATCAGGGCTCGTGTTTCTTCCTCCAGAACCACCAGCCCTTTTTATCTGGGGGTTTTGCTACACACATCCCCACCCCCACAGCCTGACCAGCTCATGGCCGTGCTGCTGCCTGGAATTTGGCCTCCTGAGGCCTCTCCTCGAGAGTTTATCCTTTGACAACTTCCCCAGGGAGTGCCCAGCAAACCCCCCAGCCCCTCAGTGCCAGCACAGAGACTCCCTGCCCTCGCTCTGCAGCCCCAGAGAAACCCCCCAAAGCTCAGCCACCCTCAAAGCCACGGAGTCCTGGGTGCTGCTCAGAGCCAGGAGCTGGGCAGGGTGAGCTGGATCTACCCCAGGAGCCCTGGGCTGGGCAGGGTGAGCTGGATTTATCCAGGAGCTCCAGCTGGGCTCAGGGAGGCTCAGGCTGGGCAGAGTGAGCTGGATTTACTCCAGGAGCCCTGAGCTGGGCAGGGTGAGCTGGATCTACCCCAGGAGCCCTGGGCTGGGCAGGGTGAGCTGGATTTACCCCAGGAGCCCTGAGCTGGGCAGAGTGAGCTGGATTTAGCCCAGGAGCAGCTCCCTGGCCTTATCAGCCCGGCCAGGGCCACCCTGCTGCAAGCAGTGCAGCACTCACAGCGTGCCCAAAACCAACTCCCTGCACTGGGACAGGGGCCAAGCCACCTCTGGTACCTTTCGGGATCCAGCTGAGCTCAGAGAGCCCTGGGCTCAGCAGAGTGAGCTGGGTTTACCCAGGAGCAGCTCCCTGGCCTTATCAGCCCGGCCAGGGCCACCCTGCTGCAAGCAGTGCAGCACTCACAGCGTGCCCAAAACCAACTCCCTGCACTGGGACAGGGGCCAAGCCACCTCTGGTACCTTTCGGGACGAACTTCAGCGAGCTGCTGAATATTCAGAAGCGGGACTGGCCCCGCTTGGGGCCATCGTTGAGGAACTCGTGGCCCAGCCCGTTGCCACACTTGCCACACGTCACCTGCGGGGGGAAGGACAGGGGTTGGCAGCAATGTGGCTTTCCGGGGGCTCACGGAGAGCCGGCCCGGGGTGTTTTTGTTCCAGCCCGGGCTCGGGGGTCGCACCTTCAGCGCCCCCGGGCGCTCCTCGCGCTTGGCCACGCTGTCCCCCCGCAGGGTCTCGGTGAAGGCTGGCCACGGCGACGAGTGCTCGTACTTGGCCCGGCTGGAGAACAGCTCATGGCCACACTTGGCACACACGTAAATACCTGCGGGGAGGGCACGGCGGGGGGACAGAGCGGGGACACGTCAGCGCGGGGACACGGGACACCCGCGGGACAGCGCGGCTGCCGCACCCCCGGGCACCCCCGGAAAAACCCCGGGCACCACCAGAACAACCCCAGAGTATCCCCAGGGCACCCCCAGAGAACCCCAGGGAACCCCCAGAGAACCCCAGGACACCCCCAGGGAACCCCCAGGGCATCCCCAGGGAACCCCAGGGCATCCCCAGGGAAGTCCAGGGACCCCTAGAACACCTCCAGGGAATCCCAAGGCACCCCCAGGGCACCCCCAGGGCCAGGCAGGGGGTGGAGAAGCAGGACCCCCACTCCCCACAGGACAGACCCCCACAAGGGGCTCCCACAGGGACCGAACCCCCGAGTCCCCATCGGGACCCCCCACCCCGTGGGGGGACCCCAACAAGCGCCGCAGAGGGGGGACCCCCGCCCGGACCCGCGGCTGGAGGATGCTCCGGAGAAGGAAACCCCCCCTAACCCCCCCTCAGCCGCTCACAGGGGGGGGGGACAGATTCTGGGGGGACAACCCCCCCCCCCGGCCGCACCCCCGGAGCCGCGGGGAGCGCCCCTCACCCGGCTGGAAGTGGTCCTTGAACACCTCTCCCCCCAGGAAGGAGCAGAAGGACATGGCTGCGCCCGCCGCCCGTTCCGTTCCGTTCCGTTCCGTTCCGTTTCCCGGGGCGGTCCCGGTACCGGGGGGACCCCGCTCCGAACCCCTCCTCATCCCCCGGACCCCCGGCCCGGCCCGCAGCTCCCCGGCGGGGCGCGGAGCCGGCTCGGGGCTGCGGATGTTCCGGCACCGCCGGTGCCAGCCCGGCTCCGGGCATCTGCAGCCGGCAGCGGGACCGCGGCGGGGCTGCCGGTAGCGGCTCTTCACCGCCGGTACCGGAACCGGCACCGCTCCGGCCCTGCTATCCCGGCACCGGCATCGCTCCTTGGATCCCGGCACCAGCACCGACCGGCCTCACTGACACCGGCACCGGCACCGGCACCGGCACCGGCACCGGCACGGGCTCTTCTTCCCCGGTGCCCCCGGTACCGGGACTGACCCCCCGTTATCCTCCCCCGGCGCTGGGACCGCTCCGATTCCCTGCTCGTCCTTCTCCTCCACCGGACCGAGCGGCCCTTCCCGGCTCCCCGGGCCCCCCGCCGCAGGTACCGGCGCTGCGGGGCCCCGGGCCGGGCGGCGGGGCCGGGCAGCCCCGCTGTCCCCAGCAGGGTTGGGGGCGGATGGCACCGGGGGTCCCTCGAGCGCTGCGGGGCTCTGGGGGTGGGTGCGGGCACCCCAGGGACCACCCTGAGCCGGGAGAGCAGAGCGGGGTCACCCGGGGGTGCGGGGTCTGACCGGGCCCGTGGTGGGTTCGGGGGTCCCGGGGAGGAGGAGGAGGAGGAGGGACAGCCCGGCATGTGGCCAGGTGAGGGCTCTGAAGGTGAACCTGGGCAGGTTCCAAAGGGGCCGAGCTGCCGCAGCTCCCTTCTCCTTCCAGAGATCAGCCCCGCAAATCCCTGCTCGGGCCGTTTATCCCAAACCTCTCTCCCGGATGAGCCCCGGGCTCAGGCTCTGCTGGGAGCGGCGCCTTCCTCGGTGCAAGAGGGAAAAAAAATAAAATCTTGGTGCCGTTTGGGCAAAACGCGGGTCTGGCTGTGCTGCCCTGGGATGGATCCCGGCTCCCGAATGCCGAGGGACGCGGCCGGGGCTCAGCCTTCATCCCGGGCAGGAGCCGGGGCAGGGGGAGGAAGGGGCTCCGCACGGCCGGGACCGCACGGAGGAAGGAGGAGGAGGAGGAGGAGGAGGAGGAGGAGGGGGATGCGCTGCTTTGAAAGCGCCTCCCGTAAGATCCACCGAGATCAGAGGAGCGGGATGTCAGGGAAAGCTCCAAAATAGACTCCAGGGCCCCGCTCACCTCAGGGGTGTGGATTTGCTGGCGGTGGAAGGAGCTGCAGCTGCCAGGAGCTCCCGGCAGCATCATCCACGGGATAACTGCTGCTGCCTGCAATTCCTGCGGCGAGGCTGTGCCGGCGGGAATGGCATGGATGTGGGAAGTGGCTGGGTCCTTCCCCATGGCTGAGAGCCCCTGCAGGACGAGCAGAGACCGGGAATGGCTGAGAACGGGAGTGGGGCAGAGCCCAGAGAGAGGCAGGGCTGGGCTCCAGCCCGGGATGCACAGGACAGGCTTTGGGAATGGCTCCGGGGCTGGCAGGCTCTCAGGCATCCCAAAGCCCCGGGATGCACAGGACAGGCTTTGGGAGGGGTTCCTGGGGCTGCCAGGCTCTCTGGGATGCACAGGACAGGCTTTGGGAATGGCTCCTGGGGCTGCCAGGCTCTCAGGCATCCCAAAGCCCACCTGGCTCCTTGCTCCCCCAGCAGCACAAAACCCGCTCCAGCATCCACCAGTAAAACCGCTGTGATGTGGAACTGGGAGCAGAGGATGGAGCTGGGATCCCACGCTGCCACCCCACTGGGCAAAGTTACCTCTGTGCTTGCAGAATTCCCCCAAAGCCACCCCAGTGCTCCCTGGTCCCGGGATAATGCAGGGACAGAGTCACAGCCGGGCTGTCATGGTGTTTTGTGCAGATAATTAGAGAGGGATTTCCAGCTCCTTTGGCTGGTAAGGAAAGTGCTGCTGTGGTGCCACGTGCCCACCAGCAGCGCCACTGCCACCCTAATTAACCACCGAGGACTGAGGGAAGTTAATGAAGTTGATATTTCAATTAACTCCCTGATCCTACAAGCAAAGCAAAGACCAAGCAGGCGGTGCCCACCCGGGAGCTCCCCCCGTGCCAGGCTGTGCCGTGCCACCTCTGCTGCCATGTGAGGGAATGTCCCAGTGGAGACACCCCAGGCCACCAGCCCAAGCTGGGTCACAGCTTGGCTCTGTCAGGTCGTGTCAAGCCCTGAATTTGAGCCAAATCCGGGAGCAAGGAGCGGAATTTTGGAGCTGGAATCCAGGGAGAGGCTCACTGATGGTCGTGGCCCTGGTGAGGGGGGACACTGTCATTAGGGCTCTTGTGTCCCTGCCCTGCACAGATGTGACCGTGCTGGGCTGGCTGTCCCTCAGCAGACACCCCTCTCAGCCCCATCCCTCTCAGGGATGTCCTGGCAGGGCTGGCATCACTCCTGAGAGCTGTTTGCTGGCACCTCCAAAGCCCCCATCACCCCAGTGCCCCGTGACCCCACCGAGCCCACCCCATGACAGCACTTACAAGGACCTTCACGTCTGATTTATCCTGCAAAGAGCACAAAGAGCCCCCTGATCCTGCAGGGCCACAGCCTGGCGACGAGCTGCAGGGAGGGGGCAGTGCTGGGGATACTGGGCATGCTGGGGCACCTCCACACTCCGTGCTGCTCTCTGGAGCCCGAGCAGCAGCAAAGCCTCCCCCAGGGCTGCACCTCCACCTGGGGCACTGCTGGTCCAGCCGGGACAGCCAGCAGGGTCTGTCCTGCTGTCCCCACCCTCCCCAGAGGTGGGGGCTGCAGTGTAGCCCCTCTGTGCTCAGCATCCCTGCCAGAGGAGAGCTCCCATACAAACCCAGGCTATTATTATCTCTGTCTTCCACCGTGCTAATGGTCTCTCAGGAAACAGACTTCTTTTTTTTTTTTTCCTTTTTTTTTTTTAGCTTTTAAAACCCACGAGTACGGAGCAGTGGGAACGGAGCTGGGCACGGTGGGGTGAGCACAAGGAGCACCGAGGCCAGCCCTGGGGGGACACTGTCCCCTGGCCTGGCAGGGACACGGAGCAGGGACCGGCCAGGACCCTCCGAGCACCAGCCCAGGGGCATTCTGGTAGGGGCACCAGGGTGCTGGGGATACTGGGCAGCTGGGCATGCTGGGGATACTGGGGATAATGGGATACTGGGGATACTGGGATACTGGGGATACTGGGATACTGGGGATACTGGGATACTGGGGATACTGGGATACTGGGGATACTGGGATACTGGGGATACTGGGATACTGGGGATACTGGGATACTGGGGATACTGGGATACTGGGGATACTGGGATACTGGGGATACTGGGCAGCTGGGGATACTGGGATAATAGGGATAATGGGATACTGGGGATACTGTGCATGCTGGGCATACTGGGGATACTGGGGATACTGGGCACACTGGGGATACAGGGCACACTGGGCATGCTGGGGATACTGGGGATACTGGGATACTGGGGATACTGTGCATGCTGGGCATACTGGGGATACTGGGGATACTGGGCACACTGGGCACACTGGGGATACTGGGCACACTGGGCATGCTGGGGATACTGGGGATACTGGGCATGCTGGGAGTGGCTGTGATGGGGCGACTGGGAGCCCTGCATGGTGAGGGGCAGGGGGGTCCAGGCTGCAGTGCTGGGTGGGAGGTGGACAGGGCCCTGTCCAGTGTCAGGGATCCCTTGGAAGCACAGAACCATGGAATGCTGTGGGCTGGAAGGGACCTTAAAGGGCCACCTTCCCCTGGAGCAGGTTCCTCTCAGGGCCTGCTCCCTCCTCCTTTGGCTGTTTTGGTGCCTTGCTGGCGGTGCCAGCCGTGCCACCAGCACCAGCCAGGCTCTCTGCCAGGGCTGGCACCACCGGGACAATCACCCGTGGCTGATCTGGGCTTAACAAGTGGCTCCTGCAAAGGAGAAGCGAAGCAAGAGCTGAGATTATATAAAGGGGGCTGGAGGCAGCTGCGGCACAGGCTGTGATTAATTCCTGGCACTGAGGAGCTCTGAAGATGCAGGGCAGCAGCTCCAGGGTCCCTGGGATGCATTCCTGCTGCTGCTGCAGGGCTGCTGTGAGGGGAGGGGGGCAGGGAGGGGCTGAGCACCCCAGGGACCCGCCGGGAGCTGACTCAGCACCGCGGTGGCCCTGCAGAGCCCGTCCTGCAGATCCCTCCCAAAATCCCGGAGGGGACTCAGCTCAGAGCAGGTCAGCCCATGGAGAGCAGCAGGGAGGGGTGGTGGTGGCTGGTGGGGACAGGACAGCACTTCCTTCAGGCCATGGACCCCCTCAGGACAATGGAAACTTCGTGTTAGAAAAACTTTTGTCCTCTACACCCCAGTAAAGCCAGAGATTGCTGCCTGGGCACTGGGGCTGGGCTGGCTCCATTTTGGATCCACGCACTGCTCGAGGCAGGGGCCAAACCATGAACTTCTAGAGGAGCCAGGGAGTCCTGCCCGCTGGCCTGGCAGCCCTGGGCTGGCACTGGGAGCAGTGGAACATCCCGGTGTGGAACATCCCGGTGTGGAACATCCCAGTGTGGAAAATCCCCCCGTTTGGCTGCAGCCCTGCTGGCAGCTCCGGGCTCTCTCAGCCCCGTGGATAATTGCCCGGCCGGGGTTTATCCTCCTTGGACAGGCGTGTTCCCGCATGCAGCCACGGAGCTGGGCCCAGGAGCCATCCCAAAGCAGGCTGGCAGGCGGGCTGACCCCGGGCGGTGCCCATGGGGAGGCAGGAGCAGAGCAGGGATGCTCCGTGCCCGCGGTGCCACGGAGCCCTTCCAGCTGTGACAGCTGCTTCCCCGCCCCTCGGCAGTGCCGTCGGCGATGCGAGCGATGGCAGACCAGGCTGCGGTGGCAGCAGACGCCTCTCCAGCCCTGGCACCGAGCCCGGGCTCGCCTCGGCGCGGCGACAGCGAGGGACCGACGCCCCACGCCGGCGGCACCGGGCAGGACGGAGGCGACCGGGAGGGCTGCGGGCTCCTTCCCACGGCCGACGGGGACACGAAGCGTCCCCCCTCGCCCCAGCCCGAGGGGATGCTCCTGGCCGACCTCCCGCGGGCCCCGCAGCCCCGGCTGAGCCCGGCCAGGTCGCGCACGGCTCCGTCGTCGCCCAGCGTGTCGCCGTCGGAGAGCCGAGCCGCGCTGCTCCGGCTGGAGG